CCGATGTGAATAAATTTAACATTACTAATGTTTTCAGACCCCTCCTGGGTCCTTCTTCAGGTAAAAATCGTCAAATTAATTTTATATACCACTCCTGATTCTTTTAAATTATCAATATTCGTTTTATATTTATTATTATTATTATTATTGCAAATATTACGTGAAATTTTATTGGCCAAAGATGGGGCCAAAACAATATTTTCTTTTTTTAAAAACTTACTACAACTATTGTAAACATTATTGATATAAGGAAAACCTTTATAATTCTTATCTTTTTTATATTTGATATTAAATCTGTTTTTATAATACTGGTTGTGCCACATTTTTAACTTGTAACTAGGTTAATTATTTGAAATAAATTTATTCTCTAATTCTTTTAATTCAATTTTACGATTTATATTATTAGTAGCTCTTGTATATATATTTTTCAGACCCATTATGTAGGTGTTCTTTTTTATAGTTTCAGAAATGCAAGATTGATAATTAATGGTTTTATTGACGTTATGTGGTTTTTTAAACGTTTTAAAAGAAAATTTGTCTATTTCATTAGTTATTGTTATATCTAAAAAATTTATTTGGTTATATTTCTCTAATTCAATTTCAAATTTTATATCTTCATTTATATTATTTATAGTATTTAATATTATTGTATCATTTGTTATTTTATTATTACAAATTAATAAGTAGTAGTGATGTGCCGGATTGTTAAAAATGTATATCCGCGGATACGGATCATTAGTGTCTAGATCCATGGATAAGGATCTCAACTTTCGTACTCAGTCGGCGCCGGTGCATGTGACCTTGGACCGATAGTTGATCCTTTGTGTTAGTAACGTGACGTGTTTTGACTTGCACTGTGCGTGGTTTTGCTTATAGTTTAGTGTGACACGGAATAGCGTAGATCAACGGTGGGCAACCCCCGGCCCGCGGGCCAGCTATGGCTTGCGAAAAGTTTCTATCCGGCCCGCGAGATGTTTAGAAGAAATTATAAAAAACAAAGAGATA